GCTCACTGAAATAACGTGGCTTATGAAGTGGCGTGTGATCTAGCAAGCATTACATTACGTGCCACTAAATGCATGTTATACTTGCCTTGTCACTTCAGTGGGCTCTTGCTTATTTGTTTATGGTCGCTTGATTTGATGTAGCATGCTAGATGCGTAGGTACTACTTCTTAGATCACACGCCACATTATAAGCAACGCTATTTCGGTGGGCGCCCTGCCTTGGGTTTCAGGTTCATTCAATCATTCTCAAATTTGAAGATCTCAATCATTCATAACAGATTCGGTTATTAGAATCAAGTGATATATCAACCTCAATACCATACTTCTATTCGCTATAAAAACAGGGTTGGGGGTTGGGAATAAATATATTCCCGTTCGCACAGTTTTATTTAAAAATTATGCAAAAAGTATAATTTGAAGAAAAAAAAAAACGTATATTGGCCCATGAGGGGATCGAACCCGCGACCTTCGCGTTATTAGCACGACGCTCTAACCAACTGAGCTAATGGGCCAGATACTAAAATGTATCTATCAGTCGTTTAGATAAAACCACAGTTTGTAAAACCTAAAAAAAAATATATAATATTCAATATAATCCCCTATTTCTTAAATATAATTATAACTGATAATATTTAGCTGTTTTATTTTCAACTAATGAAATCCAGAATTACTTATTTTGGTCAATTATCGCGAAAGGTCCCGAAGTAGGCGACATCTATGATCAACTTTGGTACTCAAAACTCATTGCACAACAAAGCAAGTTTGCATTTGGCTCTCGGTATTGTTTCTGGACGTTTTTAATTTTCGACAAAATTGGGATACCCATTACCAGGCAACCTATGAACTTAAGGATCCTTGGATACAGAGGGCTAGGGTAGTATTAATTGCCAAAGATGAAAGCAATTGCGTTTAGGAAATAGCACTCTGGGTGTGAGAGTGACCCTAGAGTAACTCTAAATTATGAATTAACAAGTGCTTACTCGGAGCGTTACGCTGGAATCTTTCAGAAATCGAGTGTTGACGTGCCCAGAGTGCGCCCAAATTACCCCACTCAGGGACTGGGTTGACAAACGCCCCCCGATTTGTAACGGGTTTGACGTTGACAAGAAAGTTCTCGTGATTCAGACGCTACGCTAATACGGTACCGCTAACAATACGGTATTTTGAATGGTATTTTATAGTTCTCGGACATGAAGACACAAAAATCCTCTAATCTCTTATTCTATTTACATTTTGACAGCTGAATTGAGTGATCTAACCCAACTTTTTTTACTAGATTGCCAACTTTTATTTATCCTGAAGATTCTTGGGTTTCATTAATTTTCCCTTGGTGTTTTTTATGGAGGAATTCTTAGAAGTTGCTCTTCTTGCAGACGTAAATGAAGCGTAAACTAATTTTGACATAGCATAGCGTTACGGTAAGGCATACGCTAACTCCCGTTACGTAGCGGGCTCCGCTAACGCTAATACCGTAAGAACTGTCATACTTGTCAAATAACGTTACGGTATTTGAAATTTGGACCGCACGAGAACTCTCTAATAATAGAAAGTTCTTCGTGGCTGCGTTCAAAAACGGCTAAAGCCGAGCCAAAATTGGCATATTGCGTTCAAGTTCGGCTCCAGCGTGCCAAAAACGGTTGGCTTTACACGTTCCAAATCGGCCGCGGTAAAGTAACTTTTGGAGGCTCTTTCAACTGAGTCTAGAAATGGTTATACGAATTTTGATTGGATGAGACCAAATTATGGCGTGGCGGCCAGCAAGTTAGTTTTGAATATGGGTTTTCATGCATATTTCAATTATTTTGTTTGTTTGCAGCTTCGATTTTGATTATTCAATAAAATATTTAACAACTAAGTACGTAAACTATTAAGTCGGGCAGAAACTAGATATTTTTTGTGTTTTTTGGTCCATGTATGGTCGCCACGCCATATTGAATGTCACGTGGTTTGGATTGCATATTGAAAAACGGTATTTGGAGTTCCAGCAAATTCACACCAGATTTGGCATCGCCGGTAGAAGGGGAATAGTAGGTTTTGGCATTAGCATTGCGGCATTGCCGTCTTTGAACGCATTCCGTGCCTCACACGTTACGCTAATACGGTACCGCTAACAATTACTGTATTCCTTTTATACATCGAGTTACACCGAACGAGCTCCTCGGAGTCACTCCAAAACACATAATTCAGATTTTATCATTATTTTTTAATAATTACCATTACCGTCATTACCTAAAAGGGCTTCTTGCACCCCCCCGCGAAATTGGTGTATCAGGGGTGCCGAGTTCAGAAATAACGCACAGGGTGCGAGTGCGATTTTATGAGTGTGCCTGAATTGACCTTTTCAATTTAAAAGTCTCTCTCTCTGGCATCAAACTGTCAGACGCCAAAAAAGTATGAATACAATGGTTGACAGCCGTTGACAGTGGTTTGTAGACAAGACTTTTGAAAGAAACTAATATTTCCTCGGGTTTTTCAAGGTTCTTTCCTAACAATGGTGATTGTGTGTAGTGTGCCTATCCATAAAAATAATTCCTATTTATTACTATTCACCGGCGGACGTGTTTTTCCATAAGTTTCCATCAAATCCTACATTTGTCAAAACTTGGATACACAAAATCAGAATGCAGAAAGGATACTCGCAAAAGAAAGGGAAATCCACGGCCCATCAAGTATACAAAGTAATCCACGTTGAAGTTTAGTTTGCAGAAGCTGTTTGCTTCCAAGATAATCCACCACCGTCTCCATAGCGAAGTTCTGCGAATGAAGCAGTGACTTTTCCCACATTTTCTTCCCAATTTCAAACCCTGCGTTTTTATTATCAAATTTTACCGATGGATCCATCATTCTATGTCGGTCATTGTCATTTTCCATTCACTTAACAAAGATAGCTAACTCATTGGTGAAGTCACCGATTCGAATAAAAATGAGGGGATTGCTAAATACCCAATAACCCAATACACATTGACATTGACAAGCAAGCAAATTTTGGCGGGAAAATGAATGTTTTCATACTTATCGTCCATCTCTTTTAATTGAAAACGTCAAATTGACAATTGGCCATTGGGCCCATAGCACTGTCTAGCATTTTTGAACAGCTAGGGCGTCGCACCGGTGTCACACTCACACTGGGTGTGTCATTCCTGAACTCGCCCCTGCACTATGAGCGACCCGAGTGCTTAACTGCACTTTTAAAACAGACGCTCAAGCTTTTGACATTGAGCAGCTCCGGGTAGCTCAACGGGTAAAAGGAATACAGTAAATACGGTATTTCACAGTATTTTAGAGTTCTCGGACACGAAGACACATAAATCCTCTATTTGAGTGATTTAACCCAACTTTTTTTTTTTGCTTGTTTTCTACTTTTATTTTATATCCTGAAGATTCCTGAGTTTGATTAATGTTCCCAGGTGTTTTTTATGGAGGAATTATTAGAAGTTGCTGTTTTTGCAGACCTAAATGTAGCGTAAACTAGTTTTGACATAGCATAGCGTTACGGTAAGTCATACGCTAATTCCGTAAGAACTGTCATGCTTGAACTCTCTAATATCAACGCCTCAATACGTTCAGAAATAGCGCACCCAGAGTGCACTCCAAGTGATGACGTCAGAACACTCTAACAAACAACTAAAATCTGTTTTTTTTTTAAGATAAAAGTCAAAATGACATTATGTTGGCAATACAATGTAAAATTGTCAACGCCTTCAAATTTTTTGTGTAGAAAAGACTTGTATTGCCAACAGAGTTACTAAATTTTTGACTTGGGGAATTATATCTTTAAAAAAAAAACAGACTTTACTCTACCTTCACACCCATTTCTAAACGCACTCCGCACTCGCGAGCTGCAACATGTAATATGAGACGTCTTTTTCTGACGGAATGTTTTGAAACGTTTTAAAACGTTACATTTTTGTGTTGCAACGGTGACACGTCATATACGGAGGCGGTTCAACCAGTTTCGAACCGCTCTTTCAGCCTGTTTCAAAATAAACGTTAAACAGCTGATCTCAAAATACCACAAAACAATAATTTTGGGGATGTCGCGGGCTCCGTTTAAAACGGGGCATTTTTGATCACCACCGATCCGATATGATGACGTAGCAATCGAACCAGTTTTGAAACGTTTCAAAACACGGTTCAACAGAAAAAGACGTCTCGGGATTCTCAGCCTAACCAAAACGCCAAAACCTAAAAATCGGCACAAAATTCAATATGGCGTGGCGGCTAAGCAAGTTTATTTTGAATATGTGTTTTTGATGCGTATTTTAGTTATTTAGCTTCGAGTTTTGCTTGCAAGTTTGATTTTGTATGTTAAATAAAATATTTGTTGCCTAGGTACCTACGGAACCTATTAAGTCAGGCAGAAACTAGATATTTCTTTGTGTTTAGTTTTGTGTTGTAAAAATGCCGATTAAGTGTGGTTGTGGGATATGGAAGTCTCCGAGAAAGGGAAAGGGACAATATATCTCAAACCTCTAGGGTCCCTAGCGTACCCAGTTCAGTATGTTTTCCGCATTTAAAAGAACTATCAGGAAAAAGATGTATAGTATGGATAGCGTCGTTAGCGGCAATCAAACGAAACGATCTTTTACAATCTAAAGTGGCAAATCAAAAAGTTTGTAGTAAGCATTTTATCACAAAAATAAACGAGTGCTATTTTGAATCATGTCTTCAACCATCATATCATACATGGTTTTATAATAGGAAAACCAATACGTAGGTTAGAGGATGTGGATAATCCTGACTGAGCACCAAGTTCTTCCAAAATTAGGCTCTGGCATATTGATACTGTCTTGTCATATTGCACTTAACAGATTTACCCCGCATAAATACCCCTTGAACCACATAAAACTGCGAAACTCCGAAAAAACAGCAGAGACAGCACACGACTAAAAAATTAAGTTTGGCCCATGTGTGGCCGCCACGCCATCTTGTATGCCCGTGGTTTGGTTTGGAGGATTGCCTAATTCTTTGGTTATGTTTAATGTTTTGGATTTGTGATTTGTTTACTGTGAAAATGATTCAAAAAATTCAAGTTTGAATAAATTATCAATAAATAATTATTATGAGAAAAGTTAGAGAAACCAAATACTACCGTCCCATATTACTATCGTTGTTTTCCTTCGTCCTAGGATGTATGCTCACCATAAACCTAACACCCATCGACAAAACTTGCATTATAGACAACACAGATCACGAATACAACGTAATGCAAAATTCCAAATTGCGAAACCCGGAATTGATTATTTTAATATTTTCCGCGCCTAAAAATTTGGAAAAACGCCAAGTTCTAAGAGAAACTTGGCTGGACATGGGCCGAGAGATTTCAGCAACTGCCAGCTACCGCTACAAGCATTATTTTATAATTGGAAGCTTAGGCCTTAGCGAGAACGAAGTTTTACATTTAAGCGACGAACAATCTGAATTTGGAGACATACTAGTATTGCCCGTATATGACAGCTACAACAACTTAACAGAAAAGGTACTTCAAGCCTATGTATGGCTCGACGAACAATATGAATACGGTTTGGGCTATAAATACGCCCTCAAGTGCGATGACGACAGCTTCGTTAACCTACCAGCCCTGCTTATAGAAATACCAAAAATGGAAAACACCCTGGGCAACTCAAATTTGCAATTCCCTTTAAATCTTCCACCAGAAAAACTGAATCATTTTATTACTACAGATGTGCAAACTAATCAGGAATTTGGGAAAAATTTGCAAGTTGTAAATATGAGTTTTTATTGGGGCTATTTTCATGGCAATGCTAAAATTAAAACAGCAGGCAAATGGAAGGAAGATGATTGGATTAGTTGCGATAGATACTTGCCTTATGCTTTAGGGGGAGGATATATTTTGTCAAAAAATTTAGTCAGCTTTATATCAAATAATAATGAATATTTAAGGTAAGAATTTTTTGTGCTTAAAAATTTCACTATTTTTAATTTTATTTCAGAACATTTAAATCTGAAGACATCAGTGTAGGTCTCTGGCTATCTCCAGTAACAAACACTATCAGAATTCACGACATCAGATTTGATACCGAATGGGTCACAAGAGGTTGTAAGAATTACTATTTGATAAGTCACAATATTTCTCCTGAAGGTATGAGGACGATGCATGAAAATTTGAAGAGCAACAAACAATTGTGTACCAAAGAGGAGGACAAGAGGAAGTATTATTTGTATAATTGGTCTGTGCCACCAAGCCAATGTTGTATTACTGTAAAATAGGGTGACTGATTATTTTAAATGAAATTGATAATCTTTGTTTTACTTGGTACAAAAATTTAAAAAGTTTCGGATTGTTCATTTATGGTGGACTTTTTGATGACATTTATTGTTTGATGAGCTAACAAGTGCTGAGATGTTGAAAATGGTACTTTCAGCAAGCAAAAACGTGTTATATTCAAGAGTGAGGAAAATATTGGTATCTAATATAAAGCACTCTAGTAAATTTGGACTAGTTTCATTTTGCCCCAATTTCAACATCCCAGAACCAAATATGTCGTAACAGACTTCACGTGGGCCTCCGCCACGGTATATACTATTATCGCTTTAATAAAGGCCGGTATTAGTTAGTAGTTTTTAAGTTTAAGTTTGACTGTGATATGATTTGGATAGTGATTATTGTTGAGAATTGTAAAGAGTTCAGTTGTCTAAGTTAATAAGTGAAGTAATTAGGAGTGTATAGTAACATGGAGTTTGATTTTGGAATAAACGAACCCAAGATTTCTGTCACGCAACTCAGAGCCGTGAAAGTATCCACACTACTAAAAAAAAATCCATATTTCATTTTATAAAAACAAAAATTTCAGTTACTAATGAGCAATAATTGAATTTTTTATTAAAATTATCATTTGAAAAATCATACAATATTAACTCTATTCTCAATAAATCTTTGAGACATCATTTTGTATTCCAGTAAAAATGAAACTAGTGCATTTTAAATGCCTCTAATTGAAAATAAAATAAATAAGGTAATAAACGACTATAATACAAATATAATAATCATAAACTAAATCTAAAGGTTATTCTATTATAATGCCAAGGCACTTTTTCTCTCAGGACAATAATATGTTAATTGACAGCCTTCCAAACAAAAAATTCTAAACCTAAGTGAGACCATAAAATAGGGTCTACTACAAACTAAATTAAACTAAAAATATACAAATGAACTAAAGTCAGTCAACAAGAAACACATTTAAATAAGCATTGTATCATCTTTGGCATCCCATTGGGGTTTCTTAGATTTAACAACCCTCATATTCCTTGGAGGTGTATTTTCACACTGAACCTTAATTTTCTTGTCTTTAAAAAGTGGAATTTTGCTGTTTACTGTGTATTCTCCTTTGCGGGGCTTGTCACTGACTTTCAATTTCTGAGCCACTTTGGAGTTTCCATTGGAATTCCTCTCAGCCAATGGTGTTCGACTTTGGTCCTTCAGTTTAACTACTCTGGGAAAGACCACCAAATCTTCATCTTCAAAAATTAGGTTGGTGAGTTTTTTATTTAGCTCCTCAACATTGGCTGTGACGTTGATTGAATGTGGAGTGATAGGTTCAGATTTAGATTTTTTAGGGGTCACATTGGCAATTATCGCAGAATTTGTGGCTTCTTTTTGTAGTAAATCAATATTCTCTTGTGGTTCAGGTTCAGCAACTGGAATGTTTTCTTGTACGCATTTTTCGATGTTGATGATATCTGCAATTGGGGTTTGGTTTTCTTTTACTTCTTCATTTGCAACAAAATTTATGATATTTTCAACTGGGATTTGGTCTTCTTTAACTTCTTCGTTGATGATATCTTCAACTGGGATTTGGTCTTCTTTAACTTCTTCATTTGCAACAAAATTGGTGATATCTTCAATTGGGTTTTGGTCTTCTTTTACTTCTTCACTTGCAACAATAGGGGCTTCTTGCATTGCAGCTTCAACAATTTGGCGCTCATTTGATGTAATTGTTTCTGGATTATAATTTTCCTCTACATCTACTCCATTGGCATTCTCTACATGACTAGTTTCAACCAATAATTCTTCCTCATTTGCACTAACTGATTCATCAGTAGTACGGGTGTCATCTTCACATGTTTCTACATCTTCACCTGGATATTTTGCCCTAATCACAGTATCGAAATCGGTTTCAGTAAAATCAACGTTAGTTTCCAACAATACAAAAGATTTCCTTTTATAGGTATCTTTTTTAATCTTTGGCGTTACAGGATTACTTTCCAACAATTTAGGAGACACAGTTTGAAGAGGGCTTTTAAGCAAAGCACAGCCCTTCACTCTTTCCAAATTCTTATCTTTAATATTCAGTGGTGGTTTGTTATCTACTATAATGGGTGTTCTTTGGAGTTCCAGGGTTGGAGAACGAGGGTCGATGCCCAAAATAAGGTGATGTTTCAGGGGAGTTTCAACGGATGGCTCATCACTCTCTATAGCCAGATTAGAGAGCTTGTCTGCTGCCGCAGATAGGATCTATAAAAAGTAGGCTTGTTTTGATTTTATACCAATTTAGGCCTGGTTTATTCATCTTCAAATAAACTGCAAGATAAATTTACTGTTCTATAATAATTCTATTGGTTGGTAGATAACTGAGTGACCAATGGGACTACAGATTGCGTTTTTGTCTGCATATCTGACAGTGTGAATAAACCGGCCCTTAGTACTTAGGGTTTTAGTACTTACCTCCAACGGAGTCCTAGCAAAGTGCTTGCTGGGTGATCTGGGATCTGAGGCATGTTTTTCCAAAGTTTTGCGAGAAACTTTTGGTGTTAGGATCGGGGTGGTGTGAGGAATGATGCCTTTTTCATCATGAATCTCAACCGTCGAATTTTTGGTTGGGTTATGGACAAACTTACTACCGATACTACCCATTTTCAACCGTTTAGCGTATTTTAGTGAATTTATTCCAGCTTTTATACTAAAAGGAACTTTGACTGATTTCAACTTTTAACTGACACAGCTGCTTCAATTTTCAAAACAAAAAATGGAATAATGGATTGAAAGAAAACCGTTGAGAAGTTTGCAATGTTGCCAAATCGAATTTATCTTCTCTTCTTTTTTTTCAAATTTATTGGCAAATAAGAGCAGAGAGAGCCGCTTTCCAATAGTTGTATTCCTTTCATACCTAGGAGGAGCTCCGGGGCTTTAGGCGCTTATTCCTTTCGAAAAGTTTTTGTTGCACCACGCATCTGTTCCCTGCAAATCGGGGGCTACTAAACACCGGAGCGAGTAGCTCGAGTGTTTCAAACTCTTGAAAGGAATACAACTAGTATGGGTGTGTGACGCCCGGAGCTACTCGGTACGTTGAGCTCCCGAGCTGTCGTACGCGTCAACTGTCACATCCATGGGTGGCTATTTAATTTTCTTGTTATCTCGGGATTGAACAGGCAACATGTATTTGGCCGACCAAATGTTAATTTTTCAATATTCGCCATACTCAATCGTTTGGTGGTCGTTTGGTGGTCTTTGGTATCCCACTTTTAATATTTGGTGGTAATTACTTAGGCAGTAATTCACAATTAAAAATTTCATAAGACGTTGGCCGACATAACCTGATTCTAATTTATTTTTTGGCCCATTTATAGTCAAATCGAACGGAAATCGTTTGGTGGTCACGAATTTACCGAATTTAGCGTTTGTTAGTCAATAATACCGGAGTAATTAATCAATTAAGATTGTTTTCTGATATATTTTAATTAATCGTCGCGCATGCGCATATATTATCTGTTTTTCATTGAGCCGCCTCGATCGCGGCGTTGCCGTTGCGATCCGGAACTGGCGGTGGGAAAAATAAGATTGCAGTTGGATCAAATGCTATCTCTAGTAATCCACTTGCAACCTAAAAAACTTCTTATTAATGCACGGGCTAAGTAAATCACGATGTATACCTATTTTCAGTATTCGAGTAAGTATAGATACCTACCTAATTATTCGTTGATTGTAATGAAATAATTGATTTGATTGAAAATTATAGAATAGGTAGGCAACGCCGCGATCGAGGCGGCGCAATGAAAAACAGATAATATATGCGCATGCGCGACGATTAATTAAAATATATCAGAAAACAATCTTAATTGATTAATTACTCCGGTATTATTGACTAACAAACGCTAAATTCGCTATGTCAAGTATAATCTGACAAAACCTTAAACGACACTGCGGTGAGTTCAAGTAATATGTAAAGTATTAGTTTGCTCTTTGTCGAATTACACGTTACAAAAAAAGAAGGAACGATTCACTCTGAACTGGCCCCTAAATAAGAATATGACGCAAACCTGTACCAAACTTGCTTCTCATTGGACGCTCACCTGCAGCCTACAAGCGACGCGCGCAGTCCAGGTAATAGGAGATCGGCCTATTATCTTTAAAAAAAAACAGACTTTACCTACCACTCGAATTTGAGCGGTATGTTACGGTTTGTTAAACCGGAGCCACGTGAAAAGGGTTAATGAACTGTTAAACCGGAGCCACGTGAAAAGGGTTAATGAAATACGATAAAGCTACGTTTACATTCAATTCCAATTTGAATTGGAAGTGAAATTTTGTAGCTTGACTAATGACAAACTGTACTGTCGTCTATTTTGCAAATTATTTACAATGTCACGCCCACTTCCAATAGACCCATAGAGAAATATAATAAACAAAGGTTTTTTTTCATTTTTCATTGTCTATGAATAGACCTATCTATTTTTACCTGGTATGCGCGCGCAACACGAGGCAATGCCTTTTTATTGGCTAATTAGTATAGGTGTAAGGTTTTCGTTTTGCACGCCCGGCATATTCTTGTCCTTGTTCATTGCCCGTGATCTGACAAGAATAAAATTACGGTTGATATTCAACTTGACATAGCTTGACAAGTGTCATTCAAAATTTTTTTTGACAAATACGTTGCACAACGCGCGGTCTTTCTCTTTCCTTCTTTAGCCCGTGCAAATAAGAAGGACGCATTGCCATACGTAAGTCTAACATAATTTGGTACGTTTTGCCTCGTCTTGCGCAATGAGCGTTTTGTATCTTTTTTTATCTAATGAAATTTTCGTATCAGTACCTCTTTGTCTGGTAAAATAGATAGGTCTATTCAAATTGGTGCAAGCAGCTTGACATGGACAAGAAAAAAATCGAAATTACAAATTTGAAGGATAAGTTCAATGTTTTGTTATGGTCAAATACAAAGCATAATTTTTCCCGCTCAAATTCCAATGTAATCGGCCAGTCGTTCAACTGTCAAGTAATTCCAATTGCAATTGACCTTTTGTTTCGACGCCATATTGCGGTGCGCGAACATAGTTGCCAAAACAAGAAAACCAAAAATTATACTAGCGGGCTGTCAACTAGATATTTTATTATTTCTATTCTGTCCAATACAAGCTAAAATTGATGGCGTTTCTTTCCAAAAACATTCGTAATAGGCGGCAAATTTAAATTTTAAATGTAATTTATTCACTAACTTTGGATTTTAAAGTTGACAGAACGCTGGTTATTTTTTTTTCTACTGTTGGCAACTATGTTCGCGCACCGTAATATGGCGTCCAAACAAAAGGTCAATTGACCTTTTGTTTCGACTCCATATTGCGGTGCGCGAACATAGTTGCCAAAACAAGAAAACCAAAAATTACTAGCGGGCTGTCAACTAGATATTTTATTATTTCTATTCTGCCCAATAAAAGCTACAATTGATGGCTTTTCTTTCCAAAAACATTCGTAATAGGCGGCAAATTTAAATTTTAAATGTAATTTATTCACTAACTTTGGATTTTAAAGTTGACAGAACGCTGGTTATTTTTTTTTCTACTGTTGGCAACTATGTTCGCGCACCGCAATATGGCGTCCAAACAAAAGGTCAAATGACCTAAGTGTTTGGACGCCATATTGCGGTGCGCGAACATAGTTGCCAAAAGTAGAAGAAAAAAAATTACTAGCGTACTGTCAACATTAAAAACAAAAGTTACTGAATAAATTATATTTAAAATTTGAATTTGCCGCCTATTGCGAATGTTTTTGAAAAGAAAAGCCATCAATTTTAGCTTGTATTGGGCAGAATAGAAATAATAGAATATCTACCCATTTATTTTCATCAATCAGAGAGAGAAAGTAAGCAAACAAAAAGGATAGCGAGGATCAATCATTTAGTTACTTTTGTTTTTAATGTTGACAGCCCGCTAGTAATTTTTGTTTTCTTCTTTTGGCAACTATGTTCGCGCACCGCAATATGGCGTCCAAACAAAAGGTCAATTGACCTTTTGTTTGGACGCCATATTGCGGTGCGCAAACATAGTTGCCAACAGTAGAAAAAAAAAATTACTAGCGTTCTGTCAACTTCAAAATCCACAGTTACTGAATAAATTACATTTAGAATTAAAATTTGCCGCCTATTACGAATGTTTTTGGAAAGAAAAGCCATCAATTTTAGCTTGTATTGGGCAGAATAGAAATAATAGAATATCTACCTATTTCCTTTCATCAATCAGAGAGAGAAACAAACAAAAAGGATAGCGAGGATCAATCATTTAGTTACTTTTGTTTTTAATGTTGACAGCCGGCTAGTAATTTTTGTTTTCTTCTTTTGGCAACTATGTTCGCGCACCGTAATATGGCGTCCAAACAAAAGGTCAATTTGAATTGGAATTGAATGTAAACGACGTAAACGTAGCTTAAGGCAAACCAATCCTTCTGTCAGATACAAAATTCAAAATGGCGTGGCGACCAAGCGAGTTTATTTTGAACATGTGTTTTTGATGCGTACTTTAGTTATTTTGCTTCGAGTTTTGCTTGCAAGTTTGATTTTGATTATTTAATAAAATATTTGTTGACTAGGTAGGTACCTAAGTAACCTATTAAGTCGGGCAGAAACTGGAATATTTTTTTTTGTGTTTAGTTGCAGTGTTGTAAAATGCCAAGTAAGTGTGGTTGTGGGATGTGGAAGCCACCGAGAAAGGGACACATTGGTGTCTCAAACAGGGTCCCAAGCGTGCCCAGTTCAGCAAGGATGATACACACTACTACTAGAACAGGATAGCTTATCCTCATAAGGCCTGTGTGTAACAAATCCCCCTCTACCCCCCTTAACCTAACAACCAGTTGTGACGTAAGTAGCATGGCGTTTCTCGCCTTGACGTAGGCTGTTTAAACAGCTGAAAACTTAGTTATGACGTCGACAATGGTTGAAAACCAATATGGCGGCGATTACCAAAAACGAGACCAATAAGCACTTCTTAGAGTGTGTATTCTCCTTGCAGTTCAATATGTTTTTCGCATTTAAATGACTATCAGAAAAAAGACGAATAGCATGGTTAGCGCCGTTAGCGGAAATCAAAAGGAACGATCTTTCACAATCTAAAGTGGCAAATCAAAGAGTTAGGAGCAAGTACTTTTCCACAAAAATAAAAGAGTGCTATTTTGCTTCATGTCTTCAACCATCATGGTTTTATAATAGGAAAACCAATAACCAATAAGTGAATTAAAGGTCTAAAGGATATGGATAATCCTGACTGGGCACCGCAAGTTCTTGCAAATAAAGGCTCTGTATAATGATAATGACTTGTCGTATTGCACAGATTTACGATTTACCCCTCACAAATACCCAAAAGCACATAAAACTGTGAAATTCCGAAAAAACGGCAGACAGTACACGACTAAAAATTGAAGTTTGGCCCATGTGTGGCCGCCACGCCATCTTGAATGTCAGTTGGTGTGGATTGCCTAACCCCAAATTTCTCCTGTGTCAAAATTAGAAACAAACAAGATAAACAGAAAATGTAAACAAATTAATTTTTTAATAAACTTAACTAGCAAAAGAAGGGTGTTCCAAATGAAATATTGCCGTTTCAAATAAAAACAATGTAGTTCAATTCCCATCCTATAACATGGATCCGTTGAAATTATGCAGGGCTTGCTTATCGGAGCACCCTACGATTTCGATCTTCAACAAACTTTCCAACCAAAACAATACTTTTGCCGATATATTAATGGAATTTGTATCTGTTAAGGTACACTTTTTTATAATAATCGCATGTATTAAATCTTAAATCAATAATTTGTAGATTTTAGCAAACGATGGACTTCCAGAAAACATTTGCACGCAATGTGAAACTCAAATATTTTCGCTAATAAAATTCAAACAAACTTGCCTGGAATCTGTTGATAAATTGCAAAAATTGGTCCCAGTTATACATGAAAATGGTTCGTCACTGATACAATCTGACGATGATGATAATATTGATTATGATAGTAATTCTGATGATGAAACTGTAAGCAATTGACTAATAATAATTCTTGAATTATATTGTTATAAATCATTTCAGTACACTGTTAAACCTATAAGAAGTTTAAAAAAAGCTCTGAAGTTCACTTGCAATGTCTGCAGTAAATCTTATAAATTCCAAAAAAATCTGGATAGGCACAAATGTATAGATTCAATTATTGAACAAGAATCTACTACAAACAAGGAAAGAAATGAAACAGATGTAAGTAAGGGTTTAACAACAATGAAATCAGTATAGAATGATTACAAATGGTAGAAGATGAAATTTCAACTAAAAGCTTTGCCAGTACAATTTTAGCTTTGCATGAGCTTTTTGAGGTTTCTCAACTACTCCTACTCAGTTTTAAGTCTAAAATAGTCAGAAATCAAACTTTTATGCTTATTTAATTGAATTTCTAGTTTCTACTCTAGAAGACCTGAATTTTCAGGCTTTTTTTGGTCAAAATTCAGTCTAAGGGGATCTAGGACTGGGATTTTGGGGTGAATTTATCAATTTTTCATATTGTTTAAATAAAATGTGATATTATGTTATTAGTAGTGAGTATTAGTTCCAAATATAGGCTGATGTGATAAAATTGTGAAATTTGAAACACCAAATATACCTACTTTACTTTACTATTTGACCAGACCACTTATGTATCCTCTAAGTCTAATTTATCATTATTACCCATCATACATTTAAAAAAATATATATATTTGTTGGGCTTCTGTTTGATTTTTCTTCATTCTGCCAACTCTTTATTTCTCTGGTTTTCGAGTTAAGGGTATACCTACATAGATGTTGAGGTAATATTATGTACATAAAATATGCACTATTTTCTCTTATTTTATTATGTTATTGCTTGTAACTTAATTTTTGTAGTTTTTAAGGAAAATCCTATGTGAGTAGCGTACTTAAACACGCAGTTAATGACAACCATTGTGCACATAACTCTAATTTACTATTGTAATTTGAATATGGGAAGAATAAACATTATTATTTCAGTACACTGTAAACACTAAAAGAAGTTTGAAAAAAGCCAGATTATTAAAGCCCCTCAAGTTCACTTGCAACATCTGCAGTAATTCTTATAAATTCCAAAAAAATCTGGACAGGCACAAATGTATAGATTCAAAGGAATTCATAAGTATTAAACAAGAATCTGCTACAAACAAGAGAATAAATGACACAGATGTAAGTGAGAGTATAACAACAATAGAAATATAATAGCAATATTAGCAATGTTTAGATTCTAGATATAATGTTGTTTTAGGCTATTGATGGTGACCTACCAAATAAGGACGAAAATATCTTAGAGAGCCTGACTGTCAAAACTGATGATTATGTAGATCAGGTAATAGCATCACGTCCCGTATTTTATTATGTGTACTATGTACTTACCTAAAACCACTAATAATGTATTGTGTTAATTTATAAAGGTACCTAATAGAGAGTTATTGGACGTGCGATAAGGACAAGCAGTATTTAAATTAGCCTTATTTTGACATTTACGCATGCGCATTTGGGTCTGAAAATAAGGATTCCCTTAATAAGGTTACTGCTTGTCTTTATTTGTGTATGGTTAGTGCGAGGCAGTAAATTTCCCTTATTTTAAATTTCTGACATTTTGGACGACTTTGACGTTTCGCTTTTCAACGGTGACGTAATTTTACTTGAAAAACTTATTTTTTACAGTAGTTTTCCATTTTACTGTGGGTAGCATCGAAAAATGGGTATCGGCAGAAAATCACAAACAAAAATAAACACTTTTTGAGGTTGAAATTTATAAACATAGCTATCAGCTGTCAAAATTATGAATACAAAATAAGGTAATACTCTAGCACCTACTTCAGTCTTCCAATAACTGTTTTTTTCTTGGAAAAATAGTGCTGATGCACTAATAAAATAACGTAGATCCTTAATACTGTGAGGCAGTATTTATTAGTTCCAATAACTCTCTAATGTCTGCCCAGCGAGTCTGTGTCTACGGGGCAACGGTAAGGGGAATGCAGTTGTAAAAAAAATGGCTGATTTCATTCATAAAATACCCAGCTGTGTGCGGAATTTTTTGGACGTGTTATTGTATTGCAACTAGTACACGAAAATCAGCAATGACCAAATCTCCGCCACTGGATATGTCAATATAAATTGATATTCCAAGATGGGAGGATAAAATGACGTCAGGCCTGGCCAATAGCGAGACATAGGGTGACGTTGGCTCATTGACAACCGTATGGTTCCTCATGACAACAGCGATCCTGCCAAAAACTCCACCAATCAGGTTCATTCAGGACGGATGCTTGCCAAATTGTCAAAAGCTGATGGTATCTTTAGAAAATGTTCATTTTTTACAATAGACCAAACTGAAGAAATCAGGATTAAAATAAGGATAGGTCTAACAACCACGTTAAAATATTTAGCGTTTTATTATTGTTATCAATATTTTGTTATCAAAAAATGGATTTTCAAATTAACTATACCTCATGCCTAGTATTTTCGCTTTTTATAATTAAACGTGGCAACATGGCACATTTACGTCCGAATTCCTTCCGTATACTCAGATCCGCTGGGCAAACAATATCTATTTCAGGCAGAGTTGAAAACTGTACTGTTTGATACTATAATTTTTTCTTCTCAATTTTGTCCATTTCAGGCTCATTTTCTCAGTTTATTGTTCTTTTATTCAGGACGATGCCAAAGACCACTCAGAAGATTCAGACTTTGCAGCAGAATACACCTGCGACACGTGCAACCAAAGCTTCAAATACAAAAGCCTATTGATCAAGCACCAACAAAAACACACAAAAGATCGTCCGTTTCTGTGCAACATTTGCGGCAAAGGCTACGCCGACAAGTACGGCTTGAAGAGTCATTTATCCACTCATTCGGATGATAGGCCTTACGTGTGCAACTTTGACTGTTGCGGCGCCCAATTCAGAACTCAAGGGGCTATTCGGGTGCACGTGAGAACACACACGGGGGAGAGGCCTTATCAGTGCAGCCATTGTCCGAAACGTTTTGCGCAAGCGGCTAATTTGCAACAGCACGAACGCACTCATACTGGAGAAAAACCTTACGAGTGTAAAGTTTGCAATCACAGGTTTAACCATAGCGGCAAACTTAAAATACACATGAGATCTCATAGCGGTGAAAAGCCTTATGGTTGTCCGTATTGCGAAAAATGTTTTGCCATGAAGGAGACTTTGAGGAAACATATTTGGACACATACTGGTCAAAAACCAGCCAATTATAAGGTGATTTTTAATGTTTTTGATAATACAAATCTGTAACTGATAGTTTTTAGCCTAGACCTCGTGCAGATACAAGTCACATAGTACCGTCGCACAAATGCGACCTTTGCAATAAAATGTTCAAATTTGCGGCAAACCTTAAAGCGCACCTGCGCAGGCACAACAAAGAAAAGCCTTATTTGTGTAGCATTTGTGGTAAATCGTTTGCAGAGAAACACGGATTGACTGTACATTTAAATACTCACACTGGCGAAAAACCTTTCGTTTGCATGATTTGTTCGGCTCGATTTACAGCACCTACGGCCTTAAGGGTGCATTTGAGGAGACACACTGGTGAAAAACCGTACAAGTGTGACGTTTGCAGTAAGAGCTTTTTTCAGCCTAGCAATTTGATTAGCCATAAACGATCTCATACTGGAGAGAAGCCTTATGAATGCAATTTGTGTAATAAAAGGTAAGATTTTTGTTGTGATAATAATATAGTTGAATAAGATTAATAATACTGGGTGTCCCACTAAGGTCGGCCAGGTACGATATTATGGAGACCATAGACCTCACGTAACTTGAAAACGAATGCAGATATTGAATTGCGGTTTGCGCCAAAATGTAGATATTTTTTTGCTCTTTAAGCACAGCAATACAAAAATAATATTATGCCATTTAGATTTTTCATGAAAATTAGGAAAAACTGGATCTTGAATAAACAACGCCCTCTAGCAGACGCGGTGGGAACTATCGACCTCGAACGAAGTGGTGTTCCTAATAACAATGAAATTCTCTTCCAAATAAACCCAAATTGAATGAGTTTGAATGAGGGGTATGGAAGATACAGCAATTTGTAAAAAAAAATTTTTCACCAGCTTCCCCCACCCTTATTACTCAAGATACGAAAAAAAGCCTAATAACCAAACTGGCGCAAAAATTAATGAACTTTTGATTTCTGTTGTTAAAACAGTATCTTAATATAGCGATTTCTTGAGAAAAGTTGAATTTTTAGCTATATCATCATAATTGCGCCCCCTAGCGGTCATCCTAGAAACTTGAAAATAATTTCCATCAATTTCTCTTGGCCGATTTAGTGAAGAAAAAAAAAATCCCGAAGCCGTAAGGTCTATGGTTTCCATAATATCGTACCTGGCCGACCTTAGTGGGACACCTGGTATATTACTACTAGTGTTTAAACTAGATTTTTGTACAAGAACTTTTTTATTCGATTTTAGGTTTTCTGCTAGTAATAAATTAAAAATCCACAAACGCATGCACAGCGGTGAAAAGCCATACAATTGTCCGCATTGTGACGAATGTTTTGCACGTAGAGACGTGCTAACATGCCATTTAAGACGACATACTGGTGAAAAACCATATACCTGCAAGATATGCCTGCAATCTTACTCACACAGTGGTACTTTGTATACGCACACAAAGACGCAGCACAAAATGAAGGGCCACGACTTGTCTGCTTTAGAATATTAATAATTAGAGAATATTCGTGTTAGTTTATTGATGTGTGATTTTTTCAATTGGATGTGAAAATGTCTGTGACTTGTAGCTTGTTTCTGGAACTGTGAAAGTATTGCTTTCTCAGATGAATTGAAGGGTTTTAAAATAATTAACTAAACAACAACTTCGGCAGGAGGATTTGAAAAATAATAATTAATTAGATTTGAATATCCCAAGTGTTATCAGATAAATTTCTTTAAGAGCAAAAGAAAATGTAACACCTAAAATATGTCAATGAATTGTAAACATTTATCTGCTGTAGTGGCACAAAAAAGTTAATGGGGGTGGGAAAATATGAAAAATGACCCTGTACCTACTATCAAAGGTAGTTGTAAAGTCAAAACTTGAGTAGTTGTATAGTTTCCTTTCCAAGCAGACCATGATTTCTTTACACTGAAAAGAACTGAATCAGGCAATGTGGAGAGTGTTTGCTGAATTAATTTTTCTTTATGATAAAAAGTGCAATTGACTTCAGAGCTAGTTAAACAAGTCAATATTGAGATGCTCACTAGAACTAAAATATCATAATTAAAATCCTGTTCAAAAAAACAGTACATAGTTCTGTTTCGAGTAACCCAAACATTGAATTTTTTAGTTTAAATAATTGGATTTTCATTATTTATAATAAATAGATAAAATTCAAATGTGTGTGTGTTTTTTCGATTTCTGAAACAATCTAAACACTAGTGCTTAAAAGTGTCACTTTCACACACTGATTGCCTAGAAGATTGTACAATTTAAACACTAGTGCTTAAAAGTGTCACTTTTACATACCGATTGCTATTATGAAACGTTAGTAGAAAAAATCAATTTAATAGAATCACTTGCTAGTCTATTCAATATAGGGTGTTGATTGTAATAAGTATTTGTTTTGCAAAGCAATCCCAATTTCATAACTTTCTTAATAGAGATTTATTATTTATCTGTATGGTACATCAAATTAAGTATACATTGTTCAAAAAACTTAAAATAAAATCCCTATTGTAATGTATACATATTATTGTTTAATACCTCACACAATAAAGAAATATTCCACTTTAATAATATTATAATTATTGCGTGCTTGTATATTTTTTTTAATACAAAATTAAACTACCTTCTAAAAACACCCATATTAATATAAAAAAAACTCTAATCACTACCACTTGCACTACCGCCTTCTTCGTCCTCATCAGAATCCTTAAGTGCAGCTCTTGTTTTCTCACTTTTCTTACCCTTTCTTGTGTCGAGATCAGAATCATCTTCGTCAGAAGAATAAATAGAGGCTAAAAATAAAAATAAATTTATTCTACTGTTATAATATGGAAATCACAATTCTGTCAACCTTTTTGTGCAGCAGCTGCAGCTTGGGTTTTATATTTGTTTTTAATAGCACTAATAGAAATAGCCCCTTCGTCATCACTGCCCTCTTCTTCCCTAAAACTAGAAGAAGCTCCTCTGGCCGCAGAATCACTCTTTTTTCTAGTAGTTTTTGGCCTAACTGCTGTATGACGCAACTTTTCTTCCTCTTTCTATAACCAAAAAATTATCAATCAATTGAATAATACAATAAAATATTTTGCCTTAAGTCTTTCAGCTCTGTCATTATCAGGATCCACACCAACTTGTGACAATATTTTTATTCCAGAGGTTTTGGTTGATCTATCGGCAAGGGATAGAGTCATCTTTCTATGAGTAAAACTGTCAGTTGAATGTGGCCTAAAACTGAGTTTAGTCCTAAATACTGCTTGACCTTGTAAACCAGTACCTTGACGGATGAATAAATGATTATGGTCACCCTAAAAAAAAATTTTTAAAACACATTTTTTTTTAATATACAAAAATTATTACTTGTAATGGTTGCCTATAAACATCAAATATTTCAGACCCCAAATGTAAACTGTAAGAACCATCTGACCAACGTACAATTCTAGCATTAGATTCTTTTTTAACATTTCCTTCATCGTCAAGATATTGCCTCCACCTTATAGTGTTTTCCACTTTCAATTTCAACCTTGCTCTGCCTTCTTCATCCAAAGTTTCCTCTTCGTCAATTTCGTCTTCATACGTATTCGGATCAAAAGGTCTCGTTTCCACTGACAAAAAATTGGGAAGCTTCACGAAGTTCAAATCCCTACCCAAGTCGCAAGTTATTTTAGGCACCTCAACGTCGATTCTCGTTTCAGGAATCGGTTCTGGTTCGTTTTCTTTTTCCTCTATATCTCCAACCCGTTGAACTTCTTCACCACCGGATGCTCTGTCCGCACTCCTGCTTCTCGATCTACTTCTTGGAGATCGACTTTTTGATCTACTTCTGCTGCGACTTCTTCGGGTGTCTTTGTCTGAGTCGGGTTTTTCTTTATCGTTGTCGCTGTCATCGCTTATGTCGTCAGCGTCACCAAAAATTGCTGCAGCACTTACACCTAGGAAATTAAACAATCAGGAAAAGGAACTACAACCCCTGAAAAATTTTAGCTCATTTGGACTTATAGTTTTTGATAAAATCGCGTTAAGAGCCTCTGGATTTAAATTTCTAAAAAAAAAGTAGAGCAAAAAAGACATTACTTAGGTGAGTCTTTCACAGAAAATGTAATAAGTAAATAAACTTTATTCTAGGAAGGACAAATAACATCATAATTTAATTAAAAAAAGAAAAACTATCATAAAACAGTCTACAGTGAAACTTCCCTAACTCGAATCTTCAAGGTACTCCTAGTCGAGTTCGAGTTACGGAAATTCGATTTATGGAAAAATACACAAAATTGAGGATATTTGAATATATATTATGTATGTATGACAAAAAAGTAGTTACATGTACATTATATAAACCAAGATAAGAAGTTTATCTGTCGCCGCGGGTTACTAAGAATCGGTAATTTCCCCAAGTGCACTAAATGCAGTGAGTGCTTCCCCAAAAAATTTAAGTTATGCTTAGTTGTCGGCACGGTTGCCACTAAATTTTAGTTCGAGTTTTAGAAATACTAGAATTATAGAGATCAGAAATTCAACTTATAAGGAAAAAAATACATAGTGAGGTTGTGAAAAACTATTTGTTTGTGAAGAAAATTCGATTTAAAGAATATTTCGAGTTTAGGAAGTTCGAGTTAGAGAAGTTTAACTGTATTTGAGAGGATAATACATAATTGTTACCTTGATCTGCTCCTCCTCCATCATCCTCACTATCTGAATCAATTAATGCTCTAATTTTCTTCTTAGTTGTTCCCTCAGAGTTGCCTTTCTCATCACTATTGGCCTTAGGTGAGTGCTGCTCATCTATTTTTAAATTAGGACTGTGAGATCTTGATCTAGACCCACTTTTGGATCTCGATCTAGACCTACTTTTGGATCTCGATCTGGATCTAGAAACACTCTTGGATTTCGATCTTGACTTGCTCTTGGCCTTTGATCTACTTTTAGATCTTGATGTCTCTGCACTTTTGGATCTCGATCTAGATTTGCTCTTGGATCTTGCTTCACTCTTTGATCTTGATCTAGATCTTGCTGGACTCTTTGATCCGCTCTTGGATCTAGATCTTGCTGGACTCTTTGATCCGCTCTTGGATCGAGATCTTGCTGGACTCTTTGATCCACTTTTGGATCGAGATCTTGCTGGACTCTCAGATCCACTCTTGGATCTTGATCCAGATCTGGATCTGCTTCTAGATTTTGATTTAGCCAAACTGGCTGATCTTGATCTAGACCTAGACGCAGCAGGACTGTTAGACTTTGACCGTGGCGATCCGCTCCTCGATTTGGATTGACTTCTAGATCTAGATTTGGACCTTGATCTAGACCTACTCCTAGATCTTGATCTTGATGTTGATCTAGCAGCGCTATTAGATCTGGATCTAGACTGGCTTTTTGATCTAGATCTGGACCTGCTCTTTGATCTGGACCTGTTCTTTGATCTAGATCTGGACCTGCTCTTGGATTTGGACTGGGATCTTGACCGAGACCTGCTAGCTGATTTAGACGCTGATCTGGATCTGCTTTTGGATTTTGACCTGTAAAATCACACATAAAACTGTTGGATAAACTGATATTCATATCAGTGAACCAAAAATTAATAATTTAATCTTTGATTATTAGCCTATACTTTGCTAATTTATATCGCAGCTATGATGTCTGTTGCTGCATAAATCACAAACCAGTCAGAGTGAATTTCATTGGTTAAAAACAGTCAGAAAACTAGTTTCAAACTCTGATGGGTTTGTGATTTCTGCAGAAACATACCTGGATGACTGAAAGTGTTTATATTAGTTTTTATCTACAAGCGTTTGGTTATAACGGTATTACACTATTTTTCTAGTATTTGAGTTGTGTCATAAGACTCATAACACAACTAGTGGTGTTATAGACTAGGTTATGAATTCATAACACAACTAGTGATGTTATGGACGAGGTTATGAATCTATAACACAACTATTTTTGGTGATTTGACAAGTGCCAAAGGTGAACCTGTAAAGGTAAAATGAAGGTGGACAACTAGTCAACTACTACTAAACGAGAATAATTGAAAAAACATTCTTATTTTTGCTTTGTAGATAAAACGTTGTACATCATACGTGCGTTTAAACATGACTACAAAACTGTGTGATTAGAACAACTCGGTCTACGACATCTTTCACACTCGTTATTGTAATCATGTTCATAAACGCACTTGTAATGTAATAGTATACATTACAAGTGTAGAAAGTGACAAATTTCACACAAGTGATTTTTTCGCGCGAGGCGGTAGCTAAGTGCGAAAATCACACGAGTGTATGAAAGAAGCTTTCTTACAAGTGATGTACACCATTTTTCCTATGACCAGAATCCGATTTACTCCAATTTTCTCTTAATTGATTTCTTTTCATTTTCAACACACGTGCTGAAAGTACTTTCAATCCACGTATAGAAAGTGAATTGTGATGTCAATCACAAATATTGTCAACAGTATTTCCACACGTGTACTAAAAGTACTTTTAGAAAGCGTATTGAAAGTACTTTCAGCACGTGTGTGATATTTCCCGCTTTCCAAAGAACCAGCTAGTGCGGATTTTGTCATTTTCGTATGTGGTTGTAGGAAAATAACTATTATCTACACGCGTTTGGTTATGACGATTTTACATAACCATTTTTCTAGTATTTGAGTTATGTCATGAGACTTATAACAAAACAGTAGTGTTATGGACTAGGTTATGAATTCATAACACAACTATTTCTAGTGATTTGACAAATGTCAAAGTTAAACCTGTAAATTTAAAATGTAGGTAGACAACGACTAATAAACAAAAATGATTGAAAAAAACATTCTTATTTTTCGCTTTGTAGATAAAACGTTGTACCATCGTCACCAGAAGTAACTGGGACAGCATCACATTAGCTCTTGTCCTATTATATGAATTTTATTGTCAAATATTTGTCAAACTATGAATATAATGCATCGAAATGAATGACAGTAGAATTAGTCCAGGAGATTATTAGGCATTATTTGTGTCCCAGATACTTTTGGTGACGATGGTACATCACACGTGTGTTTAAACATGACTACAAAACTCGTGTGATTAGAACGGCTTGGTCTACGATCTCGTTGTTCTAATCTCAAATCAAATCAAATCAAATCAAATCAAAAAATGCTTTATTGTATAAAGAGTTTAAATACCCTCATGTACAAAGCTGAAAATAAAAACATATAAAACAGTATAAACTCAGTGGTCATAGAAAAACAAATAGAAAAAAAAAACATCAAAAACAGCTAAAATTCCTTAAAATATAAATACAATTTAAAAAGCTTAAAATAGAAAAAAAACAAACATTACTTCACAAACATAAATCATCCGCATAAAACTCATCAAGGCAATAATAAGCTTTTTTCAATAACATCCTCTTTACTAATTGGCCAAACTTTTTGTCACTTTCTAGATTCTTGATTTCCAGCGGCAAGCGATTGTACATTTTTCTACCCTCATATATAATTGAATGTTTAGTAAGGGTACTTTTAGGAATGCAGAGACTCAGATTTTCACTGCTATATCTTGTCGCGTAAGCACTTGCTGAGGCGACATCAGATCCCCTGCATTTTTTACGAACCAACTCTACTGTACTAAGGATAAAAATACAAGCCAATGTTAGAATCCCCTCCCCAATAAACAGCGGTCTACAGTGATCTCTGTGACCAGCACCACTCAAATATCTCACAGCCCGCTTCTGCAAGACAAAAACAGACTGAATAAGATGCCGGCTGGCAAAGCCCCAAAACTGTATGCCATATCTCAAATGAGACTCTATCAGTGAGAAATATACATCTCTTGCTGTTTTGGCTCCAAGTTCACCATGTACAATTCTAACAGCATAACAAGCAGAGGCCAACCTTTTCCTTAACATTATAATATGCATATCAAACTTTAACTTGCAATCAATAAAAACTCCCAAAAACTTTGCACAGTCTGTACTTTCCACAGCTCCACCATTCAGTGAGATACTTGGAGCGTTTCCCCTTAATGATCTAAGATTGGTTTTGCTTATGTTAAAAGTCAAGGCTGTTTTCACACTCGTTATTGTAATCATGTTCATAAACGCACTTGTAATGTAAATAACTATTATACAGGGTGGGCCAGCGAAAACGAAACAAGGTCGTTCATTGAAAAAAATCGCTCAGACCCGTCGATTTTTATTCGGAATTGCACATATTTTCAATGTTGTCACTTCAACCCTGTCGTGGGGGTTAGCTTGAACCCTTAAATCTTAAATGGCAGTAGGGATCAAGCGATACCTCATTTCAAAGGTGATCAAATTCTCCTTTCAATGGTGCCTAGTGTTGAAAAAAAACTAGATTTTAACCTTGTGATTTCAAGTTGGATAGCACAAGACTTTTAAAAAAAAACACCTAAAATCACTTCTTAAGTAAAAATTGTTATAACTACAAAATTGATAGTGCTCAAAATGACTAAAACAGTACTAGTTCCGTCTATTTTTGAATACGTTTTTTCGAAAACCACTGCATCAAATTCAAAAAAATAGGTACTGTTGAAAAGAGAATTCTATGACCTTTGATTGAAATGAGGTATCGCTTGACCCCTACTGCCATTTAAGATTTAAGGGTTGGAGGTTACCCCCGCGAGAGGGTTGAAATGACAACATTGAAAATATGTGCAAAAGATTTCCCCCTCCAAATAAAAATCGATGGGTCCGAGCGATTTTTTTCAATGAATGATGAATACAAGATATCGACCTTGTTTCGTTTTTGCTGGTCCACCCTGTATGTGGAATAAACATATGATGAATTGTTTACTTGAGAAAGGGTTTAACAAGTTCTTTTATTTCTTAGTCCATTTCCCAATAGAAGCTGACCCAAAACCGAAAAAGCTAGAAGTATATGGAGGGGATATATGTGTCTGTACTCTGTACAAGGGAGAAGAGAAAAATATTCTAGCAATTATGTTGCCTGGTTCACTTAAGGCTGGATTTTCAAGTGCGCTAATAATTAGAATTATTTAATCATCTATAATTTCATTTTAACTCACCTGGATCTTCTGGAATCTGGTGTATTTGATCCAGATCTATCCCCTGCCGATTCCGGCCTTGTGGGACTTCCACTTCTGTTTGATTCACTATCAGAGCCGCTGTCCGACATGCCTTATGGTTTATTTTCACTTTTCAAATAAGAAATTCCTTTTAAAAGATCTTATAATTAAATTAAGAAAGAAGAACCAAAAAACAAACAAATGGAGGCAAACATGCAAAAACCTAACCTATAAAAACAGAAATAGTGTCATGTGTCAGTCATAGGCCATAGGGGTTTTCATTTATCCGTGCGTTCGGTATTTTGCTCAAAGAGCAGAGCGTGCAGAGCGGAGCCATAATCACTTGACCAGCGAGCGAACAGAGTAGTTGAACGCTGTATCACAGTGCCCAAAACTTTAATAAACGAACGCTAATGAGCCTGCACCGAGTACACTTTTCAAATAAACGAACGGTAAATTAAACTCGGAGAACTCAGATCAAAATAACGAACGTACGGTTTACCTGCTCTTTAGGTTGATATAAAAATATTGATTTGGAGCTCTAACAGCCAAAATTTGGCTTTTGAATGTTTCTAAAAGATAGAGCAAAGTTATTTTCTATATATAAAATGCTTTTTCTCTAACATTGAGCAAAAAAATACATTTTATTCAAACTTTTTCTGAAAGTGATTAAAAACCAACAATAATCAGAGAGGGATAGCAATAGAATAGGATATATAGGAGCGCAACTTTATATCACCTTATGAGTTTTCATCCCTTAGTTGCGCAGTGAATTATTAACGAGGCATTTCGAAAGGGTCGCTTTTTTATCACCTCAATGGGGTGAAGAAGTGAGTTTTTTTCGGAATTATGGCGAGATTTATCGCGACAATCAAAGCGATTATTACGCGAGTTGTTTTCGCCGCGCACGGAGTCATAGGAATATGGCAAGTGACTATTTTCAAAAAGAATTCGTTTTACTGGTACCTCAGTTCGCCGATTCTTTTATTATTTTTCGAAGGAATTTTCACTTTGGCGATTAAACAGAACCAGGAGTGGAAATGGTAAAAAAAAACTACTTTCTTATTTGACCTGCAAATTGACCAGATCTAAAGCTATCAGATTTTTTTTTTCAATTTGCAAATTGCATATATTTTTAGCAGAAAAAAAAATATTAAAAATAAAACGATAAATCGCGTAGGTATATATTTTTCCGTCGACGGCGATTGACATGAAAAATAACGATGCGGCTGTGACGTGCAAAATTTGAACTCGCACTTTTCCAGCCAATTTCCTACCCATTTCCCAAACGTTTTGTTGTAGGTTTTTATCGTATACTTAGTGTTAACCTAGATTTGAAACTAGGAAGACATTAATAAACCATTTTGATCTAGATTTCTTTCCAGGAACTTTTTGTTTTTATAGTCAGTCTTTTTTTTGACTTATCGTTAAGGCTTTTTGTACGACTTTTGCGATTAAATAAAGTTAAGTCGATCAAATATTTCACAGTTCTATTTACTGGTTTCAGACACTTGATTTGATGAAGCTTGAAGACTCCAAAAAATTTGAAGACTTCAACAAGGATTTGAAAACTGAAGTCTCCAATATTCTTGAATGTCTCTTGAGCTTCAAATATCTTAAATACTCGGAGTATCAAGCTTCTAAAAACTGATCTGAAGTCTTTAAAGATTCTGATTTTTCAAGAATCCTGAATATAGGTTTTGCTGATCGTATACCTGAGCTGAGCATGTAGCATCTAATAACTCTAAAAACTTTAAAAATCCAGACCCTTAAAAGATTCTTATAAGCTCCTTATCTAAAGCATATTTAGAAATTCTCAACTATTTATCTTTAAAATGTTGAAGGATATGAGGTCAATGGATATATAAATAATCGAAGATCATCACTTCAGAATGAAAACTAGGGATTCTCAAGACATGATATACTAAAGACTTCAAAGATTCTGAAAGCTTTGATGACGCGCATTTTTATAAGGTATTCAAAACGAAGACTGTTACAATTTAATACCTATTCCAGCGTTTGAAGATTATCAAAAAGATAGCCAAAAAAATTTAGAGGCTTTGGGCTTCGAAAGATTTTGCGCTTCAAAAACTAAAAAGAAAAATCCAAGGAAAAAGTTATTACATCGTCCCTATTCTGTAATCCATGTTGTCCATCACTCATTGGAAAGTTTCTGGGGCGTTCTTCAATCCAAAGGGCATTCTGTTAAATTCGTAAACACTGGAGACCCAAGGACCTTGATGCTTCTATCGCTCTACGACGTTGATTGTAGAGCGTTTAAAAACTTTCAGGAGATGAGTCACGGCCAAATAATCTTTGACTTATAATGAGTATGATCAATTTGTGATTTCTCTATCGGCGTATTTTTCTAAAACAAACCACCATTAATCAAATGAATGCTAATCAGTAGGTATTGATGAGTTAAAATTTGTCAACTGCACTAGTCAAATGATTATTTTGAAGCCCACTCATGAGCATTGAGTAACTGCTGTAGAATAACTCATTTCAGCATAAATTCAAACTTGAACTGGAGCTTATTTAGTTCAGTTGCTGAGTTAGATTTTTTATTACCAACTTATTAACAATTTTATTTCTTTTTCCAGGTTTTGTCCATCAGTGTTTCTATACTTAGCAAGCATAGTACCAGCAATATGGCTCTTGGAATTGGATAAAGTCGATAAACGTATGAAATTTAAAGAAGAATTGGAATTGCCCATGAATTTTACTGCCGATGCCCAATTGAAAGATTTACATAATCTTATTGGGGTAGGTTTCATTATCTATGGAATAGTTTGCTAAAAATTTTAGCACACACCAAGGCAAAATAAACTCATTAAATATTTCATCACTTTAGTGTCTCAATTTTTCCTGATTTTTGTCTCAAAATCTTATTTTCAGGTGGGCATTAGGTTGCCTGAAATTTCGCTGAGTACCGAAACGTGGATAACGTTGATCGAGCAATTTTTAATGCTCATCCTCATTATTGGAAGGTGGATGCTGCCAAAAGGCGACCTGACAAGAGACCAATTGAGTCAGCTATTGTTGGTCTATATTGGTATGTATCCAGAAGACACTTATCCAGAAATAAATCGGGCTGTTTTAGTTTTTAGTCGATACAATTTTAAAGGAGAAAAATTTCTGGATTCCTTGACAGTGACTTTTTTTTTAGCTCAAGTGTTTACACTAAAAACCAAAAGACGTCCTTTTGGGTTATAATAATTTTAACAGGAAGCGATACATCAAAATATATCAATGTGTAATTTATATTTGCGCAACTAAATTTAGAATATTTTTCTGATGGATTATTTAGCGAAATTCCAACTTTGATCCATTAAAACACGTCCTGTTTGCGATCTTTTAATTGATGTATATTTTTAGGAACCGCTGCCGATATTATCGAATTTTTCGATTCGTTTAAAGACGACAAAATCGCCGCTGAACCCATACTTGTACTGTTGACTTTAGCAATTTGGTATGAGAAAATAAAAATAAATATATTGATGTTAATATTGATATATTGTTCCAGGTCATGGAGTTTAATGCAATTCACTGTAGTACTCACAGCGACCAAATCACGTAAATCAAGATTGACCTCGACAAGATCTTCAATTAACGAGTACGTATTGGGTGTTTAGAAAACGCACCTTTTTTGAAAACATACGTTCGATGACGTCAAAAAATTACCGAGATCTATTTGCGTATTACGCGGATGTTATTCATCTTACTAACATGCAACGCAAAACTTTTCATTCATAATCTGATGGAAAATAATCAGTAAATTTTTTCATACAGTAGGTAGTTTAAACATTCTCATTCAAGTTTCTAGGGAAATGGTATTTAGGAAGACGAGACGAAACGAGAGAACGCCTTCTCTTGTCGAGAATTTCTCGAGCTATATGAATTTATTGTTACATTGCTTCTCTTATTGCGATGTATGATGCGTCAATCCAAAAATAAGTTAACATTTTTTAAACTTTTTGACTTTTTGCATATCGTTGGCAAATTTCTCTAATTGGTTTATTTATTAACCAACATCCATCAGGAAGTTGGCGTTGAAAAGGCTCAAATTATTCATACAGGAAAATCACTGGGTTTGCTTTAAACACGATTAAACATGCATTGGAAGTGGAAAAAACTGTACAATATTTTCAAGTATACTTTGGCCATAAAATTATTGCGTCGTAATTTTTAACCCAACAGCCGGACCTTTATTGCAACCATATTTTTGGCAACGCTACAGCAGCAGCGGTCAATTCCAATAAAACATTATTTAAATATAAAAACCAATGACAGACTACGATAAATCATTAACACGATTTTATTTCTGGAACTATAAGTCCAAATGAGCTAAAATTTTTAGGGATTGTAGTCCTCTAGTGGGATAAGAATCGCTGAACATTTCACCTCTCTATCTATAATAGAAAAAAATAATGATATCGTCCATGTACACTAAGCAATTTTCTCCTTGGAGGCCTTTCCAAACGTTATCCATTATTCTCTGGAACGTAGCTGGAGCGTTTTTTAGTCCAAACGGCAACCGGATATACTCGTAATGGCCATTTTCGACATTGAAAACAGTTTTACGTATATCTTCCTTAGCCATTTCAATTTGATGAAAACCACTTGCCAGAACCGAGGCCGTGAAGTACCTGGCATCTACCAAGTATTTCCAAGAAGTGTGATATGTTTGGAATTGGGTATTTATCTTGTGTTTCAGCTGGATTTAGTCTTAATCCTTCTGGTGTAACATTATGTCCAAGAGAGGCAACTTCCTTTTTTAGGAACTCGCATTTGTCCATTTGTTCTGCTTCTGGAAAATTTCCCCCTTCAGTGTATTGGTGTTGCTCGTATGCTTGCTGCTGGTAGTCATTTTGTTGTTGTTCTACATCGTAGTACTCATTGTCCATTTCTGGATTGGTGTATCCATAGTGATAGTTATCCTGGGTGTCTTATTCGTGTTACTGGGTATTAAATAATTCTTGCACGATGAATTTTGGAGTAGATTGTTATGGAGGTTTTACGGTGGCTCTTGGTTGCGGAAGCGTGCAGTTTTGAGTACCTTGCCAGTCGTTAAATTGGGGTCGAGGAGTCTGGGATGGTGCAGGCTGTACAATAGGCTGTCTAGTCTGTTTGAATGGGGATCTGAATTGGTGTGTTTGCTGCTGTGATGTTCTCTGGAATGGAGAAGAGGGCCACAACTGCTGTTGGATAGGATTTTGAGGTCTGATGCGAGAAAGTCTGGCTGGGTTCCATCACGATCTGCTTCTGATTATGTTGGTTTGTTTCTGAATTTTTTTTTATCACTTTTTTTTTACCACTAGGTTGCAGAATGGAGAAGCCTTTTTGGAGGTATCTGATGTTGTTTTCCTCCTGGATAAATCGCATTGCTGCGGGCTGCGGCTAAATCGCTGGGCCGCATAGCTCTAGTAGTTGATCCTAATGGTTCTCTTATAGTACTGCCATGAATGTGGAAAACGCCTGTTGATGGAAGAAAAGTTTCTTACTTGTTTTGACATCTGGATTATTATGGTGGAGTTCTATATAATTCGAAATAGTATTTAGAAGTCTCATAACTTTTTCGTAGAATTGTTGAGGAGATTCATTTGGCATCTGACGTAAGTTAACTAGATCACTTGGTAAGGGAATTCTTTAATTTACTTCTGAGATTTGGAGCCGGAATCCATGAAAAAAGGCACAAAATTGAAAAATTGATAAATTACCCCAAATTGCTTTAACAAGAAATCAAAACAGTCTTGTATTTTTCTAAGAGAACAAATGGAACAAAACGGAAATTTTAAATATTTACCCTTCAAGAAAGCCAAAATTATAAATTTGTTGGAAACAATACTCGACAATAATGGATTTTGAAATAAATATAAAGCAGCTGTTCAATTATAAGATAATTAGCCGTGAAAATGTTGGGTGTAATAATTTTTCCAGTAAATTTTTGATTGGCAACTAAATGTTATATAAATAAACTATTAATAAACTGAGTGTTTTATGTACATTCCTTAAAAGTTACGCAAACAGAATAAACGTGTCGGTTTCGTTGAAAAACTAGAATTGTTTTGAGAAAAATTTGCCAGCAGTTAGAGAATCATACGTCTAAAAATACAAAACATGATTCTTTGTTTAGTTCACTATTTTTACTTGAAAAAAAAAAAAACACCTCATCCTCATCCCATTGAATAAGTTTTAACAACACTTGCGCCAAAAATCTCAACCAAAACGACATTGATTGATGATGCTTTCTCTCCAATTTATGTTGTACCTACTCATTAATATTGGCAAAAATTGTTTCAGATCCCAAAGTTGTTGTACGATAGATGTATGGGGCATAGCCCTAAACATAATCCTACAAGATGCGCCCTTTTTAGTTTTCCGCCTGCTGCTCATCACTCACTTCAAAATCATCTCTTACATGAACGTGTTTTTTACTTGCAAAAACACTTTGGTCATTTTGTTGCAAATTTATCGGCTCTACGTTGTTCATAGTGAACATTCTAGAAAAAAGGATAATGTAGAATTGACTAGTATTGCTATTATATCTAAAGGAGATATGCATGGCAGGAAGACTCAAAGTAAGAAGGTGAAAAAGATGAGGGATGAGTCCAGCGAAAGTGAGGAGGATACAAGACATAAAAAGTAAGACAATAATATTCATTAGCAATGAAAATAACTTTTCTTTTTGCAGAAAAATCAAAACTAGAAAAGACACTGGTTATTCGACAGGCAGCTCTCACACGAGCAATAAACGCCTCAAAAAATCCCAATCCAAAAGTAAATTGCCTACCAGTACCAAACACACCAAATTGAAGCGCACCGACAAACAAACCAAAGGCCGAAAGAAACTGGAAGAAACCCTGTCGGAGGAGAGCCAAAGTGAGGAGTACAGGCCGACAATCAAAGAAAAATCAAGAAAAATTAAATCCGAAACGGAGTCATCCAGTGAAGCTTCAACAGAATGACGCCACCAGTTGGCCATTATGGCTATATTTTGTTTGTACTTGTTTATTTTTATTTGTTGCTTGTTTTTTATTTATTGTGGCGTCGCTTCGGATGGACTTATTATAGCTAAAGTTAATAAAACGAACAAAACTGTTGTTTAGCAATACGAAAATTTTCAAATTTTGATATTTCAATTTGATCTATGAATCTTTTAATAATCGTGATAAGTGATAAGTAGTGCAAAAACAAATATATTCATTGTGCTTTTTGTTTGAGTTTTATTAAAAGTAACAACTATTCAAAATTAAAGCTAAACCCAGTTGCAGCTCATCAATCAAGAGTCGCAACATTATGGTACTTAAATAATATTATAAAAAATAAAACTTTACAAATTACAAACAACCCTTAACTGTAGAAGTTACCAAGGCTTTCAGTGACTTTTGGTTTTTTAACAAATCTTCCAGTTCTTGGTCGCCAGATTTTTTAATGAAATCCTCTATCAATACGAGCGATTCCGATACCAAATCCTTCAATGTTTCCACTGGATATTTTACTTCGACCTTTCCCTTGGAACATCTCGGTCTTCGTTGTCTGACGAATAATCTTGGCTTCGGTTTGCGTTTAACAATTTTAGGTACCTACAAAAAAAAATGCCACGAATTTATTAATGCTTATGAACAGTAGATTCTTTACGTATTCGGGAACTTGGATGGCCTCAATTTGGAGGGTTGCTGGATTGTAGAAAGGCATCTCGCAAGAATTTACAGGCCATTTTTTGTAAAGCTTGTTGCCAGTGATGCTTTTCGATTGTGAAGGTTTGCTTCTGAAAGCGATCTGCAATAATAATAAGTAAATTCTGGATAATTTTTAAACAAATATCCTATTTCTATAATTATGGATTTCGTCTTAAGGCTCACGGATTAAGATTCGAGTCAAGACTCTAATGATACAAGACAGAAGTCTAAAGATTTTGAAAATTGCTGATATTTCTTGGGCTCTTGATTTAAAACTTTTCTAATGAGAGGAGGTTTATAAACTAAGACTTAGCACTTTCTTAAGATCTTCAAGGGTCTCAAAATCTCAAAGCTCCTGACTCGAAACTTCAAAGATGTTGAAAAGGTAACACTTTTTAAGATTTTGAAATAAAGACTCTGTCTTCAAAGATTTTAAAAATCTGAAGGTCTTGATTCAAAGCCTTTGAAAACTAAAGATTCCAAAGGACTCAAAGACTTCGCAATGCCTTCTGTATCTTTAAGTTTGGGAGGGTGGTATGGTATGCCACAGCACTTGGGCAACATTGGGCCCATTGTGCACCTCTGCAAGAAGAGAAGTCATCCTTAGCTCATCAGCAAAACTTAGTTTGGTGTTCAAGAGTCTGGGTGCTGTCGGAAGTACCAGTTTTCTCTTTCTTGTGAATAGGACCATTTAAGTCTTTTTGGGGTTGATGGACAGAGTGTATTCCGTGCACCATCTTTCTATAACTCGAAGAGCATATTGCATGCGTTCGCAAAGCGAGTTCTCGAATTTACCTCTATGCAAGATAACTACGTCATCTGCGTAAGCTATTGTGTAGTGGTTGTCATTGCTTAGGCGGACAATGGAGGCTGTCCAGAACCATGTTCCACTGAAGAGGTGATAGCATGCCACCCTGCGGGCAGCCTCTTGTGACCATTCCTTTGATGCTGACGTCCTGCACACTTATCTGTACAATTCTTTTGGTAAGCATATTGAATATCTATCTTGTAACAGTTTCCGGAGTATTCCTTACTGTTAGCGAGTGGCTAATTTTTTGAAAGGTGGTTTTATCAAAGGCCCCCTCAATGTCGATGAAAACCCCGAGGGCGGACTCTCTGTTGTCCAGCACCCTTTCTACTCTCCCAATAACCAGGTGGAGGGCTGTGTCCGTTGATCTCCGAGGGCTGTATGCATGTTGATTAGAGTGGAGTGGATTGGTTGACAACACTTTATTCCTTATGTACCTTTCGCATAGCTTCTCTATTGTTTTTAGAGATGAGAGGCTAATTGGGCGATACGCCTTGGCAGTGGTGTAATCCATCCCCCCTGGTTTGGGTAGGAACACCACTTCAACGACTCTCCAAGCCTTGGGTATGTATCTCAGCGCTAAGGACGCCCTGAACATCGCTACCAGGTGCGGCAAGAGTGACTTCAGACCCCACTGAAGTAGGGCTGGATAGATGCCATCAGGTCCTGGTGCTTTGAAGGCGGAGAAGCCTGAAATTGACCAACCTATTTTTTCCTCGTATATTATCTGATTCGCTAGTTGCCAATCAGCCGCCGAGTCCAATTATGTTACCTGCGTCTGATCCTGTGGTTGTGGAGTCAGGAAAGTGGGTTACTAGTAGTAGCTCTGTGCTTTTTTGAAGGTTGGCATTGAGTGAAGGTGCAATCCAACTTGCACAGGATATCAATTTCCCAAAATGAGTATTTATTAAGAGCTTTCTGAAGTCTCGCCGCTTCCGTATAGTTTTCTATTTCGTTGCAGTATGTCCTCCAAGCAGCTCTTTGTTTTTGTCGTACAACTTCTCTGGTTGAGTTGGTACCTATAAATGCCGCATGCATGCCGCAATGCCTTATTTTTTGAGATCTTAGAATGAACTTATGAAGATTCTAGTGGCCGGAAAATTTCAAGATTCTGTTTCAATACTCTCGAAGAAATTAAAAAGTTGGGAAGATCTGATGCAAGAGTCAAGATTCCAAAAGTTTCCAAAGATTCCAAATTGAAGACATTGATGATTGCCGAAGGCTCTACAGATTCATTTTTCACGATTTTAGGATGTTTAAACTTTGAAGACGTGAAAAAGCTCCAAGACTCTTGATTTAAAGCTTTAAAAGGCTCCAAAAACTCCAATGATCTTAGAGATCTCGAAGGTTCTTGAGACTAAAATAATATCTGAAGCACAACACTGGAGAATATAGGACAAATACTTAGAAGGCTGTAAAATCTAATTATTCAAGATTTTAGGAAGAAGACTATAAATAAATAAATAGGTATATACTTTATTGATTTAAGATATTTTAAGATTCGTAAGGTCATCCAAAAATCTAGATTTCAAGGCTCAGGAAGTTCAAGCTTTTGAAGATTCTAAACAACGAAGATCTTAAAGGGGCTCTTGACTTATTTAGAGCAGTTTTCTTCTTTTCAGAAGCTCAAAATTCTGCTGATTAAAGACTTGAGATTGACGTATCTGGAAGTTACCTAAAAATTTAAGACCTCACAAAGATATTGAAAACCATCAGTGTCTTGATGTGTCTTGAAATCAAAGATTTCCTTCCTTTAGAAGCCTGAATTATGGAATTTCAAGAAAGTGCCTGATGTCTGCTCGAAGTGCACATTCAGCACCAATAAGGTAAAATCGAACTTCTCATGACAGTCAATTGCAATTTCTCTAATGGCCGTTTCCACCAACTATTTTAGGGGAACCTTAACGATAAGTATTCCCTAAACTGACATTTCTCCATGTAAAAATATCATTTCAGGGAATACTTATCGATAAGGCTCCCCTAAAATAGTTGGTGGAAACGGCCATAAAAAACATTGGTGGGGTTTGGTTCATCTTCAGCGAGCAGAAAAATGACAGCTCCACGTGATCAGTTTTGAAACTTCAAATCGAAGATCACATGAGCTTCTGCCAACAGTGTCATTTTTCAGCTCGCCGACGTTTAATCGAACACGGTTTTATTTGATCTTCGTGACTCTGATTGGTGGAATAGGCGCAAAAAAAAGGATATCTAGAATCTGTTTTTTTTTTAAAGATAAAAGTCAAAATGACATTATGTTGGCAATACAATGTAAAATTGTCAATTCTTTCAAATTTTTATATAGAAAAGGCTTGCGTTGCCAACATAGTTACTAAATTTTTGACTTGGGGAATTATCTTTAAAAAAAAACAGACTTTATCTTTTATTTTTACATGACGAATGAAGAAGAAGAATTCCATCAGTGATTGCCATTTAACTGTTTGAAGGCGATTTTAATTGGTACACAACACACCTAGAGCAACCAAAATTATAATTCTATCTTTTCTTTTTTTTACTTGCCGGTAGAAAAAGATGCCAATACATCGAGTTACTGAAAATCTAACTGTTTTACTCCGGATTGTTCTAGAACAGTAATTGCACGAACCCGAAAAAAATCTAAGCCGAATTTTCGCGACGAACTACTTCCATGATTTCATGAACACCATAACACAAACGCATTCACGAGAAACTCATGACGTCATATTTAACGTAGTTCGCCGGAAGCATGGACGCAGCTTCTAGCCAACGTGCAAACTCATGGAGTCACAAGACGAACTATGGTTCTATATTGAACTATTTTTTTTTTAATTCGTCGCGAAAATTCGGTTCCATCCAGATGAAGAGGATCAAATTATTTTCAGAATGAGTAGGAAACCATAAACTTGGGAATGAAGTATTCTTACCGAGTTCGGTTGGTCAATCTGATCCAAAACATGAAAATCCTCCTCCAAAATATGTTCATTTTTCAAGTACCCTCTCTTACTTCTAATCTTCCTTACAGGGTTCCGCCTTCTAGCTGGTTCTTCGTCAGGTTGTTTATAAGCAATATCGATGAAAACAACAGCGTCATCGTCACTATCGTCTTCGTCACTGATTACCGTTGTTTCGTCCATTTTTGACTGTTTTGCCAAGTTTGTAACGTGCACATAGTCCGGTTGATCTATTGGCAAAGTTTCTTCGATAGCTGACTCGATCGCCAAATTTTGATACTCGGGAAGGTTGTGAGAATCCCGAAACGTCTCGTTTTCCATAGTTGGGACACTCTCGGTTACAGTCAATGACGGTCCATTTTGACTGGACAAAGATTCGCGCAGTTTAGGCATTTTGAATAGATAAATACTGATATAAACCAAAGTTGACGTTGAAGTTGGGAAATAAGTGGCGTATTGAAGTACTGGTACTCATTGACGTTTTCCGGAAATAGCCCGAAAATAAAATGGCGTTTCTGGTTGGTGGAATTAATGCAAAAAAAAATGTATTTTTATCTGTTTCTTTAACAGGCTGAGAGAAAGAGATGGAAATACTCAGTGTGCTGAACCGATTCGGAACCAAAAAAACCAAAACACGCCGCAAATCACAAAATTCTAAAACAAGTTCCTCCTTCAGAGCAAGTACTGAGAGAACCGTTCTAGAACAATCCCAGAATTGTTCTTAAATAATTCTAGATAAACCAAAACACTGTCAAAACCAATGAACTATAACCAAAAACTGGAATGCGCACACATAGTGATGAACGTGAAGCCTAGTGCCGCTGCTGCGGAGGGGATACCTGTTTTTGTCGTACTCATTATGTTGAATGGCGAAAATTGCTTCCAACACGTATTTCAATAATTGATGAAACCTGTGAAGGTAAATATGACAAAACTTTCCGAAACGTCATATGTCAGCGAGCAACAGAAAAAAAACAACATTCCCCTTTGTGGCATCTGTCTTTCATGGCTTTATTTTTTTGGCAGATATGGCAATGTGTGCGCATTCCAGTTTTTGGCTATAGTTCATTGGTCAAAACAGTTCGATTACGCCGATTCTGAAAAAACGAAAACGCGTTTTATAATATGCGCATGTGCGGAATGAGGGCGAGTTCTCATGAGCGTAAGTTGACATTTCTGACGTAATAATATGGTGTAATTTAATCATTGAATTTAATTGGTAAAATCACCAGCATGGCGAATATTTTACCAATAAAATCCAACCATTTCATCACGTGATTACGCCAGAAATGTCAACTTACGCTCATAAGAACTCGCCCTGATTTCGAAGAAAAAATCTTTTGTTCAATATAATAGGTATTTTCTTTTAAACATCGTGATTTTTCTCTTGATTATTCGATCCTGGGGGGTAATTACCCCCATTACCCCCCCTCCCTGTCAAATGTCACTTGTCAGTTGTCCGTTTCGTGTCGAAAGCTTTCTTGTTTGTTGGATCCAATGAACTATAGCTAAAAACTGGAATGCGCACACATTGCCATATCTGCCAAAAAAATGAAGCCATGAAAGACAGATGCCACAAGGGGGAATGTTGTTTTTTTCTGATGCTCGCTGACATATGACGTTTTCGAAAGTTTTGTCATATTTCCCTTCACAGGTTTCATCAATTGGAATACGTGTTGGAAGCAATTTTTGCCATTTAACATAATGAATGCGACAAAAACAGGTATCCCCTCCGCAGCAGCCGCACTAGGCTTCAAGTTCGTCCTTATGTGTTAGCATTCCAGTTTTTGGTTATAGTTCATTGGTTGGATCTAACTGAACCGTCAATATTTTTAGTTCACTTTTAGTGATCTAGATCATTTTTTTGTTGGTGGGGGTGTACTGATCCAACTACAATCGAACACCGTCTGGTTCACTTAAATTGAACGATCGATCTAATTTTGTCTGGTCAATCGAATGCAGCTCTATCCCGGAACTGATTTTGATTGTCCGAACCAATAAACTAGAGCTAAAAATTGGAATGCGCACGCAGTGCGATATCTGCCAAAAAAATGAAGCCATGAAAGACAGATGCCACAACGGGGAATGTTGTTTTTTTCTGTTGCTCGCTGACATATGACGTTTTCGAAAGTTTTGTCATATTTCCCTTCACAGGGGGCGGATTACGAACTCTCGATTCGAACCGAAACCGCCATGGATTTCGAACGCACTCCATGTGAATGCATAGGAATGCGTTCGAAATCTACGGCGGTTTCGGTTCGAATCGAGTGTTCGTAATCCGCCCCCAGGTTTCATCAATTGGAATACGTGAGTGCGACAAAAACAGGTATCCCCTCCGCAGCAGCCGCACTAGGCTTCACGTTCGTCCTTATGTGTTAGCATTCCAGTTTTTGGTTATAGTTCATTGGTCCGAACAAACCTTAGGGCGCGTTCTTTTATTCAGCAATGGATGCATCTGCTGCCAGCATTATGAGGCAGATATTCCGATTTTCTATGAGCTAGACAAAGATAAGCAGATTACCGATGGATCCACCGCTGAATAAAAGAAAGCGCCCTTATTAACAAAACTTGTCAATCTGACAAGTGGAGGGCTCCCGATATCTGAATTGGGATCGTTCCGTAATAATTTTTTTTTTTTTTTTTTTTTTTTTTTTTTTTTTTTTATGCTTTCTAGTCAGAAACCACCACTGTGGTTTGTCGACAAAGCCTCGAACATCACATTCAAACCAAATCAAACAAACAAACAAACAAACATCCATGCACCTAGCCGGGATTCGAACCCGAGACCCACTGCATGCAAAGCGAAGACACAACCGCTGAGCTGCTTGGGTCTGCGTCCAAAGCAGTGTTGCCAGAGTTTTTCGACGACATTCCTTCAACTGATTGGCTAAAACCCTTCATATCCTTCAAAACTGTAGAACAGTGGCATGTGGCCGGTACAACGAAATAATTTACCAGAAAAAAACACTAACATGCAAGGATAATACACACTTCTAAGGATTGCTTATCGGCCTCGTTTTTGGTAATCGCCGCCATATTGGTTTGTAACCATTTTCGACGTCATAACTAAGTCGTCAGTTGTTTGCACTAGCGGTCGAAGTTTAGAAGAAGATGAAAACGAAATTTAAAAAAGAATTGTTTTAGAATAATTAATATAGTGAAACCAAGTATTCATAAGGCAAAAGCCAGCGGAATTATAACCTGTAGTGCAAACAGCCTACGTCAAGGCGAGAAAGGACATGCTGCCTAAGTAACAACCGGTGATTTGGCGTGGTGGGAGGCTTTAGACTTGTTCCACACAGGCCTCATGAGGATAGGCTATGCTGGTAGTGTGTATTATCCTTGACTAACATGAACGAAATTTCTTTTATTGAATTTTGAACCTAAAGCCTGGGCTACAGCACACTAACTGACGCAGTGGCGTGGCGAAAATTGGCGTTTCGTATTTTTTCCTATGCAACTAATTAATTCGTTTTAATAAAAATTAAATTTGTTGGTGAAATGATTGGAATATTTGCTAAATATACAATTTGCCACAAAATCCTTCAAATTCGGATAAAAACCTTCAATCCTTCAGTAGTCAAAATTTTAGACCAAAACTCTTCATATTGAAGGAAATCCTTCAATTCTGGCAACACTGCTCCAAAGTCTAAACGCCAACATAACTTTCTTCTTTTTTTGTAATAAACCGTTATTTATTAAAGGACCCCGCAATATTTAAATGGAAATTGGTTACCCGTGATATTTGGATGAAATTTAAATATGTTATTGGGGATGCCGTAAGCAACATTTTTTACCATGGGCACAACCCTGTATATATGACAGGTGAGGCGTGGTTAGCTGTCAAATATTGGAATCTTATATCCAAAAGCAGAGTAATTATGGCAGATTTTGGTGAACAAAAAATCTATTTCTACTAAGTCGACCAAGTTAGGTCGAAAAATGTCAACCATTTTGACACCTGTCAAAACCCTGACAAACAGCAGCACTCATCTTTTCCAGTTTTCAATATTTTATGTTGTCATCTGACATTTTTAACTTGAATCACTTGAATGTAAAAATTGAAAAAAAAAAAAAAAATGACAGAACTGTCAAAACCTGTCATTTGTTTTAGTAGAAAAAAATACTCTAATCTGGTTCTTCTCGTTTTAAGGTAGTTTATTGGTGATAAAACATTGAACAAACTTCATGCACGTCACATTTTGATAGCTGTCAGAATCTATCAATAGCTTTGATTCAAAAAAAAAAACAAATCTAGTTCTCTTCCAATTCAAGTTGGGCTTATTTATGATAACGCATGAAAAAACACTATACGCAGGTTTCAGATTTTGACAGAGATGTCGATTTTCATTTTAAAGTAGGTAAGGTCCGTTTCACCAGGGTTCATACTTGACCTTGAAACTTGAAAAAAAAGGGTTGTCGTAGATTAATTCATATGACACATTCAATTTTTTGACAAATAAAAATGAATGACTTTTGGTTTAAGAACCGACGTACCTTTTTGACGTCATTGATTTGTTTCAGTCAATTTTTATTTGTTAAACAAGGAAGGCAAAAAATAAGGTCAATAATGGAAATGACGTCATGACGCAAGGATATTGACATGTTTCTATTGGTTCAATTCCAATTTCATACGTCAATTTGAAAAAAAAATACAGGTTTCTGTAGGTACATAGGAAGTTATATAAGCTGTTGATAGAGGGCAGCACTTTCAAGGGGGCGTTCACAAAAAATAATTAGAACACAGATTTTAAACAAATTTTTTATTTTCTACTAGCAGTAGTAAAAAAAATTCTATATATTCCTCGGTAGAGAAAGTTATTATATACCTCAAGCATTATAAAGCTCGGCGCTGCGCGCCTCGGTTTATAAAAGCTTTCGGTATATAATGACCAACTTCTCTACCTAGGTATATAATATACTATTATATACCGGCGAATTTTTTTTGAGTACTTTAATGAAATCATTATAATACTCCAGTACTATAATGAAATAATTAAAGTACTCAAACATTTTGACACTTACAAATGAAATCTACAATGATATCATTTTGACAGTTCTGTCAATTTTTTTTTCAATTTTTGAATTCAGAATTTACATACAAGTTAAAAATGTCAAATGACATCATAAAATATTGAAAACTGGAACAGATGAATGCTGCCGTTTGGCAGGGTTTTGACAGGTGTCAAAATGGTTGACATTTTTTCGACTCAACTTGGTCGAATTAGTAGAAATAGATTTTTTGTTCATCAAAATCTGCCATAGCTGCTCTGCTTTTGGATATAAGATTCCAATATTTGACAGCTAACCACGCCTCACCTGTCATATATACAGGGTTGTGCCCATGGTAAAAAATGTTGCTTACGGCATCCCCAATAACATATTTAAATTTCATCCAAATATCACGGGTAACCAATTTCCATTTAAATATTGCGGGGTCCTTT